GACTGAGGCACCTACATCCTGGCACTTGTCATATGAAACAACATGAAAGTCTGCTGCCATAAAAGTTTAACATGCATAAGAAGTATAGTACACACTTTGTGTAGGTAATTACAGTCCAAGGTCTGCATGGTGGCTTCTAAAGGCAAAGCCCAGTAATTTATAATGAAGTGATGTTAAATAATCGTGAGCAGGATGTGACGATTCCTTGGGTGAGACCAGCAACAAAGCTCCATGTTTTGTCTCTGCATTTATGGAAGTCTCCTTGGATGGCAGGGAATGCTCAAATTCTGACCCCCCCTTTTCTTGAGGGTAATATAACCTAACGGTTAAACAGGGTTTCTGGGACCTCTCCACAGGCGATCTTCATCTGAATGGTGGCATTTTGTACCACTGGATGTCTTATCAGCATTATGTGGGTACGATGGACCAGCCTGATGGGGAGCACCACCTGTGAACTAGGAAACAAAGATGACCATAAAACAAAGGAGCCTGTAATTTCCCATGAAACTTACTAGGAGCCTAAATTGGGGCAATAAAAGGCCCAAAAGGCGCAAATAATAAACGCAGCCATGTTGTAAACATGAACGAAGCTTTTATAGAGGAGGAGGAGGAGCACACAAAAAAAGAAGACATCCTGGCACAGTGATGACATTACTTTAGCCTTTAAACACTCTTGATTCCTGGCAGACGACACCCCCCCCCCCCCCCCCCCCCCCCCCCCTCAACCAAAATATACATATGAAACAACAAAATATACAAATGAAACAACATGAGGGACAGACTAAAGTCAATAAATAAATAGCACTTTACAAAAAGAAAAAATTTACAGTATAAAACACAAATTTCTCAGCCTAAACCTCTCAATGCTATAAAGGATAGTATAAAAAGCTTGACATGAAATTCAGATGTTTGTACATTTGTATAATAAATCACATGGGACCAACGCGCAAAGGCCAACAGGTTCAAATCTTCAGGTAATGCTCACATAGAATAAATCTGCTAAACCAAACATTCAAACAAAATGACCGATGATTAAATCTGGCAGGTATTCCGAGAAACAGAAATACTAAGAAGCTTCAAAGAAGTGATGAAGAATTTATAACGGCAAGATCACGTGAAGCATGACAGAAATGACAAACATCATCATCATTATGTAGCAGGTTTTGTTATAGAATGTCACTGCCATCAAAGCCTGCCTAAATGAAGCTGGGTCCCTTGCCGGGTCTTCCACCTCAAGCACTTTCCTCAACGATGTGTCTGTTATGTCCTGTGCCCATCTTCATGCTGGTCAGCCCCTGCCTTTCTTACCCAAAAGCATGCCCTTCGCTACTGTCCTTTCCAACTGACTACAGTGTTTGAAATAGCCAATGTATCTCAGTTTCCTTGACAAGCTACTGTTTATGAGCCAATTTTCCCTGATGTTCAGATCTTTCAGGATGTCAATATTTGAGTCTTGAGATGAAGAATGTTTTGTGTGTTGAGAACTCTCCAGTACTCTTTAGAGATGAAATGCCGCACAAAGACAATAAATCAAAATGAAAAATACATGTCATATATAATGTTTTTTAAAAACTGAATTTATCTGCCATTTTCTAGGGTGGTGTAGTAGAGAGGGGTCTAGTTTAAGGATCTGAAGCTGAGAGGCTAGTAAAGGTAAACTAAAGAGACCCTTTTCCACACATCTAGGCGCATTGGTTAAATGGATGAGACCTATATTTATAAACTTATTGGCACTTGGTGTGTGATCTTGGAAACATCACGCCGGCTGACTTTACTTCTCAGGACTTTACCTGGTTCCCACTCAAAGCTAGGTTGACCTGAAAGCCAAGGCCTTAAAAAAAAAAATTTTTTTTTTAAAACAAAAGTCTGGTTCCATTGAGATTTGAACCCATGACATTCTGATCAGCAAGCGAGCATCTATCCACTACATATGTGACTAGTGCAAACATCCTAAACCGTGCAGGTTAGAATTTTATTTTTGCCTTGAAAAGAAAAAGAAAAAAAAAACCTTTCAACATCTTACTGAGGATTGAAACCTGTCTCCTAAAAGATAGCCAACAATCTAACTACATGGTTAGCCTCTCCCCCTGCCCCCCGCCCCTTTTTACAATGCCTACGATTCTCAAAACCAAAAGAGAAAGCAAAACAATGAAACGGAAAAAAACCGCATAAAGAATTTCAAGATTGTAGCTGATTACACTTACTGGCAAGAGTGGAAATTAAAAAGAAAGAAACAACTTTAAAGTACCAGAAATTTTAAATTGCAACAGGATATGACTAGATGAAGAAAGTAAAAGTTGTGTTGGGACTATGCAAAAGATACAATAATATTTCAGCCCCCCTGCGAGCATCATGGTACATTCACAATTACCGTAAAACCTTGCTTAACACACTCAGTTAGCACGAACAAAATGTTGGTCCCGGTAGGGATGAATTATTCGCAAAACATCGATTAATTTCCAGTTAGCACACTTTTGTTCGTTGTTTGGTCCCTTGTAATTCGTGTTAACAACAGTTGACTGTATTGTTTCATGTCTGTGTGGATCTTGATCAAGTGATTATGATCACAAGTTACAATGACACACTTGCCCATTTATTGACTGTGTGGTTTTACTAGACAATTTGTGGTTCATAGTTTGCCATCGCTTTCTTTTGTTACAACATTCATACAAATTGATTAAAAGTGGCCTGCTAACAAACTGACAGCAGTTGACTTCCCCTGGTGCAGGATGCTCAAAATGTGTTCACTAACCCGTCTAGTGTCATCAATGGATATATAAAGATATGTTTACTGCTTATTGCAGTGAAGCTGATGATAAAAAGTGCTGCTAAATATAAGAGAAAATGTGACTAGAAAGCCCAATGCCAGGAATGGAAGTGGTACGCACAAACACAAGCAAATCACTTCGCTCATAATGCAGATTTAATGTTGACCCTGGTTGTCTAGAAGCTCTGTTGTCTTGTCTAATGAGTGTTACAGTCACCACAGTTTGTGTTTTATTTACTCACTATCATCATGTTCTGTGCCAGTAAGCTCAGGCCAGCGGTTTTCAACCTGTACGTTGCTACCCCACTGGGAGGGGTCGAACAACCTTTTCACAGGGGTTGCCTAAGACCATCAGAAAACATTCACTAAAGTTATAAATTAGCAACAACCTTTTACTTAATGGTTGGGGGGTCCCACAACATGAAGAACAAGCGGCATTAGGAAGGTTGATAACCACTGGCTTGAACTGTCACTATCTCACGCTTCACCAGAATCATCGATCAATTCAATGTTTTTGTCTAACCCCATCCATCTGGCCAGGCCATCAATGCTATTTATCTCCTTGCCTTCCTCTGGCTCTCTTTCCATCAATCTCGTCAGTTGTCACCAAGTTCTCGAGTCCATTCCTTCTCGTAACATTTCCCAAAAACATTGACTAAGTGAGTAAGTAAAGATGCCTTACCACGCCTTAGGTGCATTGAGCATATGGAAATAGCACCCATATTTGTACAGATTTATCGGCTCTAGGTGGGTAATGTGGTCAGCATTTTGCCAGCCGTCTTTACTTCCACAGGATATACATCCTAGTACCCATTTTAGGCTGGGTCGACCTGTGACGCCCCCTACCATAAAAAATTGACTGCCTACCTCTAACTGTTCTAATAAGTTTACAATATTTCATCTGTCTCGATGAGGACGCATTTGTTTTTTTTTTTCTATGCTTCCATGATATTCTTTGCATGCTTCTTAGAAACCACATCTCTGCCATGAGTAAATTTTTTTTTTTTATAGCTTATTTGCTTATTGTTCATGTATTAATACTCTGTTGATAAAGACTGGTCAAAACATTTGGCTGTATTTGTACGCATCTGTTCCATTTCCTTTTTTTGAGCTTTCTAGTCACACTTTATGTTGTTATGTACTTCTTGTAACATAACAGCATAATATACCTGAGGTACCACTGGCGTAAAAAGGGGCCATTTCTTTATGCCACGTAACAACAAATACTGACCTATGACTGAAACTTCAGACAAGTGAAGACCTTTGAAGTTTGGGAGCTGCCATGATGTAGCAGCTAGATGCTTACCGAGGTGCCTGAAGATCAAAGATTATATCTAGAACGAACAGGATTATTTTAAAAAATAACCCTGGCTCCCAGCTCAACCAAGCCTATAAAAAGCACCAGTTAAAGTCTGAGAAGTAAAGGTGGCCGGCTTGATGCTGACCCCACCACCCACCAAGTGGTGACAGATCTATAAAATATTGATCCAACCCTGTATTCTCAATTTACTCAGCACATTGAAAAGAGTCCTTTTTTTTAAATGCCAGTGGTGCTTTTGGCATATGATGCTACACGTACATTTTTAAAGACTCAACATCAACCAGCCACCTTTACTTCCCAGGACATTTCTATTTTAGGCTAGGTTGACCTGATATCGAATCCAAGCTTTTGGAATGGCACTGGCGAGTGTGTCTAGCAACTACACCATGGCGACTCCCTGGCTCCCTATTAATCATTTTTATATACATTTTTTCTCACTGTTACTCAGTTTTATCATATGCATATATTCTGTTCCCCTGACCAAAAGTACTAGTATAGGTACTTATGCCTGTACTTGTTTAGCGTATAATCCCAAAATACCTTTTTTTTTAAGTTCACTTTACCTAAACAAACTACAGACCAACTGGTGGTAAAAAATAGAGGAATAGTACAACACAGCACAGACAAAAGGGCAGGGCGGTATGTGGTATAAAACAGACGAAAGGGCAGGGGGGGCATGTGGTAAAAAACACAAGATTACTTGCTGAGTTACTGACATTCATCTGAAGAAACCTGTTGAGATGATACTTCTAGCTTCAGGTCAGCATTACTTGTATTCAGCAGCAGCAGTAGCAGTGACAGCAGAAGTAGCTGCAGTAACAGCAGCAGTACTGCCATCCACAAAAGGCTGTCTAATGTGCTGAATGCATAAGACTCTTTGGTAGTTTCAAGTAAATTAATGCATGTTCTGTTTTAACAAGAACTTCTTGGAGGTCTGTAAATTGGTGTTCTTGATGCCGACCGCGTTGGACCCATTGTAGCTGATCGCTGTAGTTGGCGGGGCGTCTGTTCCGGGATAAATTTAGTGAATGTACAAAATGACCACAATGTGTTGAAAATCAACTTCACTTCTTTTCTGAAGTTCATATTAAATATGATATATGCTACAGGTTTCACCAGGTAGTTGAAGAGGTATGAACGAATGCAAAGATTGAACACAATTTCAGTTGTGTTGGATGAAAAATGGTTGAATACGGGTGTTGTAGCACAAAGTATCATAACAACTACGAATGGCAACATGGTTACCACAAAAATGATTGAAATAACTGTAAATATGGAAGCCTGCCGTGTGTGTTTAACATGGAGTTGGACAATGGTCACAGCTGGAGAGGAGCTATTGGTATGAAGGCTGTTGGACTTTACTATTCCACTACTGCTTTTTAGAGGAATTCGAGAGGGATCAGTACGTGGTGTGCTGTTGTGAGAAACAGATGCTTGGTGGTTGTGGTGCAGACGGCTAACTTCCTCACTGTAACTGGTCGTTCTGGATGTGCTCGTGTCTTCTCGAACAAATCTGTGTTTTTTAGGAAATTCCCGTTTAGCGGGACTGGGTTTCTCTCCTCTTTCTTCAGCTTGTCTCTGTTTACACCACCCAACACCAATCAGACTATAGAGAACTGTCATCACGCACAAGCTTAATGTAAACGATCCTAGAACACAGCAGTTATACAGAATCCTCAGCCAGTGAGGCATGGTCTGATCAACGGAACACGTCACCCCAAAAACTCCTTGATAGACTGTTTTCACTTTCTTTGTTCCAAACACCGCTAACGCTGGAATGGACACCAAAACTGCTAAGACAACTGCTGCAATGCAACATAACCTGGCTTTTTTCACGCTGAACTCCCTTTCTGGACAACATAATTTTCTGTAGCAATCATACGCCACACAGATCAACGTCAAACACTGCGCACAAACAGCCCATGTCTCTATAAATCCCATAATTTTACACAACGGAACTATGTCATACAGGTACGGCAAAGCTAGGGCTGATATCTCCAAAGGTACAACTGCAATGCAACCAACCATGTCAAAAACAGCAAAGAATATAACGAAAAAGTTCGAAGTCGCTCGCCTCGATCTGCATCTGTAGATATAGCATACCAGGGTGTTGCACAAAACACCTAACACTATGATGCAGCTCAGAATTATGAAATTGGGATAAAAAGTCAAAGACTTTTGTCTGTTCAATTCAAAGATGGAAAGCCTGGAGTGAATCGTTGAATTGATAACAGGGAATGTAGTGCTGACTTCATTTTCGGAAGCTTCATAATCTGACCAAAATGGATGGTCGTAAGAGAAATATACATCAGACTTATTTTCTGTTTCTCTATTGTCAAAGTCAAACTTTCCTGGATCCGCCATCGCCTGCATCATCCAGGAGCTGTCTGCACATAAGGACTAGACTCAACCACCATCAGCAGTGTTCAGGCTCACTCGTTTCTAGCACATTCTGAAAAACACAAATCTTTATCAGTAAACTGCCAGTAAATACATTTGTAGGCATAGTTTTTTATAAATCAATAGCAGCCCGAACTGTTCTTTTCTGTTAAGCGATCACATCACGCGAGATTAAGGGAAATTGAATAGTTAAAAGGGGGGGGGGGTGTTAAATGAATAGTGACTACTACTAGCCCTAACCCCCTCCCTATACTATGGGATTTCCCTAAATCTTGTGTGATGTGGTCGCTTAAGAGAAAAGAACCGCCAGAACAATCAAAAAGAAATACACATAGTAAATAAGTAATAGTGTGATCAAAGTAATGGAAATACACAAGCAGTAAACACATAATAGTGTTAGTTAGTTGGGTTATTATCATTGCACTCCGGACATGTCCATAGCTGTTTAGATCCTCCCCTCAGTATGAACCCCAGCGTCCGGTAGCTAATAGTACCAGTTCTATGCTGATTCACGTCCTCTAGTGTGCGTCTCTCTCTCTCTCTCTCTCTCTCGCGCGCGCGCGCGTGTGTGTGTGTGTGTGTGTGTGTGTGTGTGTGTCTATGCTGATCTTAACTCCAAAGTCTATCATTCTGGCGATATAGATTCACCTGCCCATTTTTCGCAGGGCATTTATAATATCAGCATGATCCATAGGTTGACCGTCGGTAGTGACAGCCTGTGTATCCCGGAATGAAAATAAAGGTGATTCCAGGCATAATAGTGTGAACAAGGGAAGATATATACAGGCAGAGTAAATAATAGTGTGGAAACGGGCATGGAGACACACAAGGAGTAAATACATAATAATGTGAACAGGGGAAAATAGAATACGCAGGGAGTAAATAAATAATAATGTGATCAATGGAAAATAAATACACACAAAAACGTATTAAAAAAACCAGTGTGTGAACAAATGAACATACAAACACATACAGTATATAAGTAATAGTGAGAACAAGAGAGCGACGATACAATAACACAAAGGGGCGGCGTCCGTAGCTTAGTTGCTGCGAGTCCGACTCGTAATTCCAACGTACCGCGATCGAAACCCACTGCTGGCTGCGTGGATTTTTATCGTGGTATGGGGCGTCGCAGGTCGACCCAGCCTAAAATGGGTACCAGGATGGCTGTCCATGTGGAAGTTAAGACGGCAGGTGTAATGCTGACCACATTACCTACCTAGTGCCCGATGGTATGTAAAAATATGGGCGCTCTTCCCATATACCCGATACACCTAAAGGCATGAAAAGGGATGTTTACTTACACTAAAAAGGGAAGAAGCGGGTCGAAGGGTAGGGTCAATGCACACATACAGAATGTTCACTCTTTCAGACCCAGGAGGTCACAGCTGATCCTCAAGCAACTGCGACAACAAAAAATGCTAGGTTAACACCGCGACAGTCTCCAGAATTAGAGGCCCTTTAACTGTGTATATGACGTCACAAGGGATAATCCATCGTTTATTACAGGTGTGTTGCCGTGTGTAACTTGTTCTGTATTGGGTGACATTTAAAGTGCCCACAAAATACTGTTTTCTGAAGGTAAATCGAACTACATTTCCACAAGTGGATATTGTGACGTGAATATACACCATTTTTCTAGCTTTGCAGTGTTAAAAAGGTAAAGTCGGGAGATGTGAACCAGCGCCACTGCACACATGTAATAAACCAAAGTGCTCTGCCACCAGTACGGACAGCTGATAAGAAACTGTCCGCCTGTGTCGCCATCCGCACGCAACTCCGTAGCTACAGAGACGTTCCTCCATTTACCCCAGAGTGTTAACTCTGGTACCCATTACCTAGAGGCTGGGTGAACCCCGGGAACCGCCCGGTTGCGAACACCGACCGCGGGCTGCAGCGAGTCGCAGCTGGATTTGAAAGCGAGTCTCCTATCGACTGCGCTAACGCGGCCTCGGCAGCGTTAGCTTACAGCACATTTAAAGCTGGAGCCGGTGGTGGTTAACACTAACGTCTTTACTCCTATGTCGTGGGTTTAGATCCTGATCGAGTCGGGCTAAAAAAAAACCTTGGCTCCCAGGTAGACCAAACCTTATAGATGTACCAGGTAAAGTACTGGGAAAGTAAAGAATACTGGCGTGATGTAGACCACATCACATGAAGTATTTCAAGTTGTAACTGTGTTTTAGAGTTAACATATCATTAAAACAAAAACAAAAATTTTGAACATCTGCTTCTAATTTATCGAATCAATGTTCATGAAGGAAGCCTCATTTACTTGTCCACCCATTTAACATACATACCCTTAGCAGTTTCTTCAGGAACCACATACCCAGTGCCAGTGCCCCCGCCCCGAGCTAAAACAAAAACAACTACAATTAGGGACCTTTAATCTGCTGAAGACTGCGCTATAAATTCCAGCTCTGAGGTCAGTATGCAGCACATCATCAATAAATTGTCTGCAGGCTTAACCAACTACGGGCTAACTATCAACACAAATAAAACTGTTGTTTTTATCAACCGGCTTCCAGATTTTTTTTTTTAAAACTGTGATCTCCCCATTATCACCGTAAATGAACAAAAGTTGAATGCAGTCGATAAATTCACTCATCATGGCAGTACCCTATCTCAGAGAGTCAACATCGGCGACGAGATCAACGCTAGAATTTCAAAGACCAGCAGCAGTTTCGGCAGACTTGATACTTGCGTCTGGAATAGAAGTGGCATCTCCCTTTTGGGCAAGCTGAAAGTTTACAGAACTGTAATTCTTCCAGTACTACTCTACGCTTGAGAAACGTGGAATGCATATCAGCGCCATACTAAAAAGTTTAATCAGTTTGCCATATAACTTGCCTCAGAAAACTCAAAATCAAATGGCAAAAAAGGATCCCAAATACTGTGGTTCTTGATAGGGCAAACCTGCCTAGCATCTACACGATACTGAAGAATTATCAGCTGCGTTGGGCTGGTCACCTAGCTCGCATGCCAGACTATCGCCTCCCAAAGAGAGTATTTTATGGCGAGCTCCAGCAAGGGAAGAGGTCCCAGGGAGGATAGAAAAAGAACTATGAGGACAAAACTGCTCGAAAAAAAAAAATCTCAATCCGTTGGCATCAACACAGCGACATGGGAGGTTGCTGCATAGGACCGTTCTAGGTGGCGTACATCCCTCATCATCGGCCTGCCAGGCAGCGGAGGTTGCACAGGCAGAGAAACGGAGGCAGACTAGTAAGAACCGTATCGCTAATTCCACACTTACTGCGGCTTCCACCGGTTATCCGCACTGCTCAAGAACTTCTTGGGCTCATATTGGACTAATCAGCCACCTACGTACTCATAATCGTGGATCATTACTAGTTTGCATGAAAAGTGGTCTTCATGGATGAACAACACAACAACGTACACACACACACACACACACTGATGACACACACACTGCACACTGTGTGCACATATAAAGTATATGTAAAATACAATATATGACTGATATATACATAAATATCACATATATATATGAGGATATATATATATATATATATATATGGGTATATATATATTTCTGATGACCTGATCCCGTCTTTCTGCGTGCTTCTGTGTGCGCGTGCGTATAAAGTGTCCATAAAAATGCCTGCATGTGAAATGTTTGAAATTACAAGTGAACTGACTTGACTGATTCAACACTAAACTGCACGTTGCGTCACATGGTGTTAATCACTCAGCGTGAGGGTCCAGTGAAGTTCAATATCACTCACTTAAACCATCTCTTTCTGATGTGGGAATAAGTTCTCTTAGTCAGTCTCTTTCTGATGTTCAAGACATCTTCATTACTCTTTTTTGTCTGTCCATGTATCATCATCATGCGTCTGTAAAAGCACATCTTCGCAGTTTCCAAAAAAGTTTTCACAAAGAGAACATGTCCGCAAACATATGGACCTACAACAGCCCTAACTAAATGTTTTCTTTTCGTGTGGACTCCTGGATCCCACTGTGGGGGGGGGGGAACAAGAACAGACCCACTGCCTCCCCAACAAGCATGTCGTATGAGTCGACTGATTAGGGGCAACCTTCGAAATCAGAGTACATCTCCGTTGAGAGGATGGGTACCAAGAGGCTGCATACAAAAAAGCCAGATCTATAAAACGGACTTGCACGCAATCCTCAAGTTCTGGAACAAGACTAAAGTCTGCAGGTGGACGAACACCCAGAACTTTCCGTCAGAGTTTACAGCCGGTGAGTGCGAAGAAGACAAAGACATGATCTTAGTTCTGTAACTGTCCACGTTTCGCATTCACACAACCAGCACAGGTTCTATATAACACTGTATCACGGTCTTCTCCACTCGGCATCAGGGAGGGGTGTGTGTGTGTGTGTGTGTGTGTGTGTGTGTGTGTGTGTGTGTGTGTGTGTGTGTGTGTGTGTGTGTGTGTGTGTGTGTGCGCGCGCGCGTGTGTGTGTGTGTCGTCACCATAATGGAGGTTAGCTGCAGAGAATTTGTGCAGCCGCTGATGTTGTCTTTAGGCACATGACAAGGTGATACCCCAGCCCCTTTCACGGCGTGATTCTTATACAACTGAAAGAAACTACGAGAAGAATCTACAGCTTACTTTTTCTTCGCGTTTACCAGCTGTAAACTCCGGTGGAAAGTTCTGGTTGTTCGTCCACTTCTGGACTGCAGTTTTGTTCCAGAACCTGAGTGTTGCGTGTGCATCCGTTTTAAAGATCTGACTCATTTGTGCGCAGGCTGCTGGTTCCTTGCCTCTCAGGCAGATGCATTCCGACTTCGAAAGGAAGCTCCCAATTAGTCGGACTCTTACGTCATGCTTTTATGTAGTTAGTGAGTCTATTCTTGTTTTTCCTATAATAGGGCTCCGGAACCCACACGGGGATACAGCTTACTGTCAGGGAGTATATCTTTTTTTTTTAATAAAAAAAAAAAAAACGCCCAAAACCCGCCCGCCTAATACTCAACTGTCTAATAA